CGAAACATCGTTAATACAATTACCTCTTTCATTGTCCGTTAAATTTTTTACAATTCCAAAGTTTTTTTGACATGCTTTTGTATGACATACAACCAGTGGTGGAAATTCACTTTTCAAGTGGTGTGACAGGTCGTAACGGCAGAGCGTTGAGAAAAGAGAACACCACTTTCTGCTGTATTCAAATCCAAATCCCATTCTCCTCTTCCTTCCAATCTCTCGATTTATATACTTCTATTAATTATAATTGACATATCACGTGATTACAGTTTACAATGTGATTGGTTCTGTTACAGTGGGGGGGGGGGCGAAACCTTAACAAACAAGAAAATTTATAGACAAAGGCCCTAATAACTGTGTTTTACCCGCCAATTTAACCGACCGGGGGGCGCTCTTTCCCACATCTCTACAATTTCCACCACTGAACGAAATCTATTAAAATCATTGACCCAGTACATCATGGAAATAAATCTGGTAGATAGGACGCTAATGTAACAAGCTTTGATCCTGCAATTCCTCCCTTGTGGACCTGGGGTGGACCTCACCTTAAGAAAAGTCTTACTTTTGGAATAACAAGTTCTTTTCAGCATGATTCAACTTCAATAATTCGCTTTCTCATTCTACATTCGCAATAAAACGATGCGGAATGTATCTTCAAGTCTGGCTTTGTTATATTTACATCGCAAGTGTTATATCGATACAAACAAAAACTACAGCTCTAATCCAAGTCGATAAAGAGATAAGAAAAAGATGCATATGTGGAACATAAAATAAGTTATTCATTTGTGCTCCTTCAAGCAACCTAATGGAGCAAGTTTAGTAAAAAATAGAACCTTTAGAAAGGGAAATTGGTTGCGAGGGCAAGCCATATTTTGTATAAAAAAGGACAGTTGCCTATTGTTTAAAAGAATAGAAAGTCACTGGCCCTGCAGGGGCAATTGCCTCGTAGTGAGGATGCCAAAAAAGGCCCCGCCTTTACCATATTTAGCAGAGTATCAATCAAACAACCCTTAAAAATAAACTTTGCTATGAAACTTAATATCCAGATCCAAAATAGTTAGTCGCATCATTCTTTACATCAAAAATCATCAACAAAGAAGGTCTTTGGGAAATCGGGGCCGCTTTAGACCGGGTGACCAAAGCGCAACGCGGAAGTTAAAGAGCGGGTGTTTTATCAGTAGTAACGAAGATTTAATATGTCAATATTGCAGGCTGTACAGTAAGGATGGTCGCTTGCGAAGTAGCCTTGTGTTTATTCAAGCGAATGTTTTTAGACTTGCAAAATACGAAATATCAGCTTGTATCTTTATATAAACGGAAAATATAAGGGGTTTTTATCAGTATGAATAGCAGTGAGATATTATTGAGCAATTTGACATGTTACACAGTTGTAGCTTGGAGAATAATTCTGACTGACAGTCAACTCGATGCCATTGCTACGAGCATTGCACTTCTGATACTGCCTGTCATTGCCACGAATACATTTCTATGCATTGCGTTGTACAAGACAAGGCAACTACATGGCTGTTCAAAAATCCTGATATTTGGACTGAGCATCTCGGATTGTTTCTGTGGTATTGTCGTGATGCCCGCAGTTGTAACCATGCTAACTGTTTACGGTCATGAACGAGTTTGTTGGTTGGAGAGGCTGGCCATGATTCTTGGCCAAAGCAACGGGCATTTCTCGCTGTACATATTGCTATCGCTTGCTTTACAACGACTTGTAAAGGCCAAACCGAGTACAGTGGATACAAGCTTTTTATATCGTCTGTTTTGGACCAAATCTGGACTCGTGATAATCTTCATTACTTGCTCCGCATTGGCGCTGTTGCACGGACTAGTTTCCGTGTATTTCTTTGGCTTTGTAACAAGCAATATACCAAATATCGTTATGGTAATCACCCGTGTACTTATAACGGTCTCTATATATATTGTATACTTTTATCTTTACTTCTCCATCAAACGATACGTGACAAGAAGCGTTGGCTTTCTTGATACCAAGAACACATCGGGAGGAAACGCGACAGGGAGACGTCAACAACTGGCTTACAATGTGTTCTTTAAAACGGTCGCCCTGATAATGATTGTCTTCGTAGTATGCTACTCGCCATTAATCGTTACAGATGCTCTTACAGGCTACTACACTCTGCTTAAAAGGACAGCGGCTCCAAGGCAATTGCGATTCCTATACTTTCTTTTTCACAGCATTTTCTTCTTGAACAGCGTGATTAATGCTGCCATCTTCATACAAAGAGATCAAAAAATACGATTGTATCTGAAATCTTTGTTTAATCAGGCATCTGAAGCTGAAATTGCAACCCTCTCTCGGCGTATTCGTGCCACTCACACACAAAAATGAGCAGAAGCTTAATTGAAGATGCCATATTTGGCTTCTATATGCATGTTACCGATAAATATGAATTATGAAGAAGAGACAAGGATGAAACCATAGAAGAGGCAGGAAAGCTGAGAAATGTTGATTGGGTAAATGTTTGATTGATGATTCTTTTAGATAGCTCAAATGTTCTTACCAGGGAATTGTTAGAAAATTTTTATTATTAGACAAGCGTGCATCAACATCTTCATAAAACCATAAAACCAACATTATAAAACCATTTGACCTTCATTCCCCGATTAAGGGTACAAGAGCACGTGTTGTTATTGCTATCTAATTCATTCATGAAATTCCCATCCCTCCAAGAAACAAAACACGTAAAAATTACTTATAATTCAGATTGTTCCTTTAATAAATTACTGATCATAAATTCTATGTTACTAGTCATAGAGGCTGAGGCTTTATCTCAAAACAGCGATATAAAAATTTTCTCTTCAAATACAGTCACAATTTTTATTCATTCTTGGTCAGAAACGGTGCACGTGCTTTCACCTGAAAGTATGGGGCTCTTAAGCGTGGCAATAGTGTACAAAATGAGAAACAATTAACATGATCTTATCTTAAATCGATAGCAACTTTGTGTGAACTTATTCATCTCAACTGTGGGGCGTGTCGAAATGAAAATCACACCTGTCTTATCAAAAGACTATAGCGTGCAGTTGATTAAGAAAAGTTCAAGAATACCGCGTATGTCTAATTCATTGCATAAACAAATTATTTTTTCTGATCAAGAGGACAATAATTTAAACCTATAATACTTTTTTCAATAACTTTTGAGTGCGATGGCTTTCGAAAGCGATAATTAAGAGACTTCACCGAAGACGGGAAAATTCCAGCTGTTAAAATAGAAAGTTTCTAGGAATTAAGGAGTCAAGAATTAATGTTAATGAAAATAGAACATGAAGTATATTCTGATATATTTGTTATAATTATCATTATGAAAGCTTTATATTATGGAAAAATAGATTTGGAGAAGCGTAGAACATGAAGTAATATTATAATAGGTCGTCAGGCTGATATAAAATTATTGCGATGAAATATTATAGGAAAACGTAAGGCAGCCGGAGCAACAAAAATCAGAAAGTATGATGCCAAGGCAATATTGTCAAAAAGTGCCAAAGGAAACTGAATTAGTAAATATTTCACCCAATGCATAAAGAATTTCATCAAAATGGCTGAACTAGCCTCCTATACCGTGGCACCAAAGTAACTTATTCAGATATATTATAAATTTTTGATAGAAAACATTGATCGTTTGCCGCTAAATCTGACAGTTCGTCTTCGATTTGTGTTGTGTAAATTTGACAGTTCCTGTCACAATACAAATTTATTCAACAATCGCAGAACGTCTCGCCAAACATTTATTAGCAAGCAGAGCTTCAGCATAACTTGAAGCACACTCATTGGTTTAAAAGATTGTAAACAGAATTGGAGCCAACCGGTGGTCTTGTCTAACACCTTTGATTGTGAAGAAATGTCAATAATTTTTAACATGCTTTGAGAAATTTGGAAACCTCCTTTATAGAGTTTGGTCTCGGACAGGTGTATAGAAAAATGACAAAATTTTGATTTGAATATCTAAAAATAATTTCCGTCCAACATGCAAAACGGTTTTTTCTTGTTGGCAAATTTCTATCTGGATAAAGGCCATCTGCATTCGGATCAAAAGCCCATCTACCTTTCGAACATATTCCAGCATGTCATACATTAATATGTCTGGGAACAAAAATAACTCTCAAATAGACATGATATATCTGATTTTTTTCTACCTAGCTTTCAACGGTAGTTTAAGGAAACTGAGAAGCTATGCTTATCGAGCAGTGTCCTGGTCTTTCCTCTCAATGTAACCACATCACGTGATTCCTATGTTACATAAAGCTGGCTACTCTCCTCACTGTGAGCGAAAGTTTGGTGATAACAGGAGCTCGAATCAAAGGCCCCTTGGATCTGTTGTCAGCAACCCTAACCACCGAGCCATGCTCGCACATTCTATCATAACCAATTCGATGGTATATATATAATATAATAACAAATGGTTACCGAGGGTTACGCAAAGGAAATTTCTTTTGTTACAGACATTCTGTGTAAGGCAAGATTTATCAATATAAAAAAAGCAGCCCAAGATCTCTAAGCGACATTCTGTTAAACAATAATCTTCTTGATATTCTAGTTAAAAATTTTTGATCGGTTTTCATAAAAATAAGTAGTTTGATTAAATTGAAGGCTAGAAGACGTAATTTTATGTTGATAACAAGTTTCCAGGCGTTTATCTTTGATCTATTAGCTTCCTATATGACGTATTAACGAATTTTTGAGCACAGTATTAGGCCAACATGGGGCCTTTCCTAAATAAACTTACGAAATAGAGCTGAATAACATGGTGGTTTTCTTTGCAGAAGGAGCTCTATCGTAAATTATGTTGTGCAAAGTTTCTCAAACACTGAGCTTCTCAAACATAAAACGAGATTTTCCCCTTGTCAATATGATTAACAATACAAATAAAGATAATTTCAAGATAAATTTACAAAAACAGAACAAATTCAACAATGTACCTGTGAAAATTTCTTCCAAAGTTTCGAGTGTAGCAAAACATGAATTAAATTACACGTTGAAAACTATATTGCCTTGACATAAGGCATTGATATTCATGATACAATTCAATTTCACATACAGTGGAGCCTCTGTTAACAGCCACCTCTATGTAACGAACGACTCTCAACAACGGACAGATATTTTCATCCCAAATGGTCAAAACGCTCTTTATAGAATCTCACTACAACTGACACCTCAAATACACTTGTCGAAATAGTGCCGATTATATGGAGGCTCAACTGTATGAATCATTTATTTACATTTCTATATTTATTTAGGAGATACAACGCAATATATATAATTAAGGGATTCTTTAGAAATAAAAAGCTGTACAAAACAACGCCATGAAATGCATTTTGAGATCACGAAAATGAACATAAAATTACTGTTTTTAATAGAAGAGTGTCATTTAACAACAATCAGCCATTAAGTCAAACATCAATTTAGTTTCCTCGTATTTCAACATAAGAAATTGCGGTTTTCGATACGCAGCAGTGGCTCATGGAGTTTCAAGAAAAAGACATCATATTTAGCTTTGAAAACGGCCACAATTTGAAGGGACTTTCCAAAGGCTTTGTTGACGTACCAACTGGATAGGAAACCTCCACAAGTTCGCCGGTGATTCCCACTAGTACCCTTTTGTCGCAAATTATCTTAAAAACTGAAAGTGAGGCTGATCACTTCCAGCTTCACTATATATGATCAACTCCCTCGAAGTTGTCTTTGCAATCTGTTAAACCACAGTGAAAAACGGGTTCGGCATTAAATCCTCACCAATAGAAGTTGCTCAGACTATCCCCAAGATATTTGACTTGATCAATTCTCTCCCCAAAAGGAGGTGGCATTTGTCTATTGCTTTCAAGGGAATTCGAATACAAAGCACCTAGTACCAAGAGGGAATTGAGTGAAAGGGTGAAATATTGCTTTCTGACTATGCTTCTTCTCTTGTGAATTTCACACTTATTCCCATTTCAATTCACGAAAGGATAACTTTGCCCCCTTGTTAATTTAAATCCATATTCGGGTGTCATCCAGGGACATTTTGAAAAAACACTTGATTCTACGCAAGCCTATTGCAAAAAAGCTTACAAAGACATTCATTGATAACCAATGTTTGTAAAGGGATTTAAACAGCTAGAATAATAACTCCAAAAGACATTGAGCAAATTATGTAGAAAAGGTTTGATTATAATACGTGTTTGAATTCACAGGGTTTTTTATTAGTATTGGATGACCGGTTGAGCAGATAAAATAATGCAACATAATTACGCAGCTGCAGGTGAATGCACACATTACCCATCAAATATTAAATCGGCTATTTGAGAAATTTCTTTATGAAAAATCACAGGAATTTTTACACGGTTCATTATCAACGAGATTTTAAAGCTAACAACTTATTCTAAATTTTCATGTTTCAAGAATTACAAAATTTAAATTGAGCTAAAATTTTTTATAAATTTCAATCAATGAATCGAGGTCCTGACTTCCTAGATCCAGCTATTTTGGAAATGCCTGTTTTTCTTTCTTTAAGGCTCAACTCAACAAGTAAACGGTGATTTACCATATTAGTGGCAGCTTTGGGCGTAATAATCAATTACATGGTGGCTTTGGGCATAACAAGTGTATTTTTCAAAACACCCTGTGAGATGATATTGGAAACATTTTAATATCAATGCACAACACGGAATTCTATACGTATTAGAAGACTGGCCTGCAAAAAATGCTTGGCAATTGGTACCTCGATCTCCAGTTTCGCCCACTCCTAACAGTTTTCCTCTCGCTAGGATACTATGTAAGAAGATGAGTATTTTGAAACACCACTTCAATGCAGGGGTGTAGTACTAGGGGGCTCAATGGGGCTGAGCCTACCTTTGTAATGCCGAAAATTAGCAAAATTTCTTGTTAATTTAATAACACTACACCACTGCTTCCATTCCCCGGATTGAACGGCCAAAGCTGGAGGTCCAGCGCACAACTTAAGGGGTATACTGAAGCTCAGATAGGCTGGAATGTCAGACTCGAAATAACTGCTCTCATTTGACCACAAACGGGAACTGGTTGGAAAAAAGGGAAATTTGGCAAGCTGAAGCAAAGTTACGAAGAGAGATAATGCGAGTTATAATGAAGATGATTGGCCTGGATTCGGTCCGGCCCTTGAGAAGAAAGTTGATCCAATGGTATGCATAAAACGACACCAGTGTATAAAACTGCCATTTCGAAAGTCCGATGAATGTAGCCGGACTTTGCATTTATATGAAATTCATTTTTCTGCCGATCACATTAATAATACTCCGAGTTTAAATATTCTTCATCAGACACAACGGATCCATTTTTCAAACAGAAACACCCGCATCCGGTAGCACAGCTGTCCATCTTTTGAAACCAGCCCATTAGATGCAAGGTATGTCCACCGTGGCCGCATGCTACGCAGAAGCTCAACAGACCTGAAATTATAAGCAGACTGGATTATATCGTAGACTTAGCTTGAACCGATAAACTCTCCCTCTTCACCCCCAAGTAACGCTTTCCACCGCTAAATCGCAAAGAAAAAGAAAGGAGACTTAATGTCCCAAAAATATGTCACCACTCGAGCGATCCCTCCTTTTCTGATATCGGGAATAATCTCACACCATTTATGTATCCGGGAATCTTTAAACACAACTTAATAAATAAGTCATAAAAATGACACCTTTCCTGTCTACATAAGTTCAGTGTTTAATAAATGTTGGACATGGCTATGACCCCTACGATTATTTCAAAACTCCTGTTTATTACCAACTTCATAGAAGCTGCAGAGTCATTGATTGCAAAGAGAGAATGGAAAATTTGAGAGGCCGAATCAAAAGTACAACCCATTCGATTGTTCAAACCTCATTTGGTTTCAGTATTATGTTGGTACGAAAAGATATGAGCTTGTACTCAAACCTCATGCTATCTGGTTTATTTGATGGTTCACGCTTTCAAAGCTTAAAGATGATGATATGAATCTGAATTAAAACAACGTACACACAAAAACCAACAATGCCACAGGCGTCAATCTTCAAAGGCCTTCTTACGAGAGCCAGTATTGTCTCAATATAATACAAAAATTAGGCGAGCCACGAAGCAAATACATATGCTTTATAACAAAATAAGCTCCAGGCTTCATGTTGTTATATTTGCAGAAGGATATCAGAAACTATATCATCTATATAAATCATTGCTAGGCAATGGCAATTAACATTTCTATCAAAATCTTCTTCGCGTCATAGCCACTAACACTTTTATCAATATCTTCTTCAACAGATAGCCAGTAGTATTTCTATCAATGTCTATTTCAAACGATATCCTTTAATATTTCTATCAATATCTTCTTGAAACGATAGCCAATAATATTTCTATCAACATCTAATCCTTTATCAATATCTATTAGACCTTTCAATACATATTTCAAATGATAGCTACTCAAATTTCTATCAATATTTTCTTCAAACAATAGCCAGCAGTATTTTTATCAATATCTTCTTCAAAAGATAGCCAGTAGTATTTCTATCAATATCTTCTTCGCGTGATAGCCACTGACACTTTTATCAATATCTTCTTTAAACGATAGCCACTCAAATTTCTATCAACATCATCCTCTCAAACACTTTTATCATATCTTTTACAACATACTAAAAGCTCTTTCGTCTGTCACTTCCCCGAGTATAAAACGACAGATTAAGATTCCATAAAAACCAGATGGAAAATATATACCCAGCTGTGGATAGAAATAGGACAATCAGAAAAATGCAAGCACCTGAACGGTATAGTTGTCCAAACAGTAATGCTTGCCTATCGCCACTGAAGTGCAAGATTGACAGCAAAGCAACATTTTGTGATGGCCCGTTTAATTTGACGTTCAAATCGCAAGGAAGTGCTACCAATTCATGGTACTTTAAGGCAAACTGCGAACCTTTGTGGGTCACATCCCGAATCACTTTTTTAGTTGGTCTAAATTCGACGAGAATATATTGGAGAAGGAGGAGAAAGTTTTTGCAAAGTATTCACTGTGATGTGTGATTGGATAGCGCCAAACTGCCTTTTTGGAGCCGAAAATTATTCATTGGTACCCCTCTCATTAAAATAAGCCTTCCCTGCTAGCAAAGGGCGTCTTCTTACAGTAAAAAGGGCTGGCCTAAATCTATTATTTTGCCCCCCCCCCCTACACACAGCCTAGTGGCTGGCACCACCGCTAAACAATAGCTTTTCATTAACAAAAAGTTGAAATAACGCAGTAGAAGAAATATTTCCCTCAAAATATCGTACTCTCAGGCAGGGTTTACACAAGATCGGTTCCATTTGGAATCGTACTAAAATGAGCACGGTTAGGCCTTCCGATTACACGGGTCCCGTTGGAACCGTTCCAATAGGAACTGCTAGCCGTACCAAAACTGGATCGCTTAGAAAAAAGTTAAAAATTTCTCGTGTAAACGCAGCCTTAATCACATTTCTTAGGTAACACGGCGTTATCTTCTCCCAGTTTGATTCACTGATTAGAAAAATTATCAGGAATTAACAAGCTGCCACAAAACAGGTGGAGCAGACACAAGTGTTATCAAATCACTAAAAGACTAGTTGATATGTCTGAGTGTGTTTTGGCAAATATACTGAAAACCCGTAAATTTTCAGCGGCTGAATGGCCACCCTTAGAGCAAAGTGCAATTGGAATAAGATCAACAAACGATATTAAAGGTAGAGAGAGAAAACAAGCAACTGTACTTTAAAGATGTGGTCTGAAGAGAAAATAGCACCCTGCGCTATTACAAAAAGGTAAACAGGGAATTTGGCTGACAATCCCTTGAAGCGTAGGATCTGTTCTGCCTATCTACAAACTGGTAAGTTTTTATCGAGTGGTTAGAAAAGATAACTGCCCCAAACCTCCCAAAAGATCAATGGTTACAGCACTGGCGTGTATATAAAAAGTTCCTTTGTTATAAATTTCAACCAAGATCATATCATCAATGTAAAATCACATCATCAACATAAACTCAATTATCATCAGATCACTTCAGGTCAATTGTCTCCACAAACTTTTCAAAAACTTTATACATAAGTTTTATAAAAGTGATTCAAGCAACTTCGCATTGGGTTTGGCCATGAATAAAATCATCAACAAAAAAAACCAACAAAAAAGAACATCAAATGATCCAACAGCTGTTTCGAGTAATCCTATGAACATGAGGTGAGTTGATGTAATTAATATTGAAAAGAGACTAAAGAACTTGAAAGCTGGGAAAGAGGCAGCCAATTTTGCTCCTAAAAGATTACACACACAGGGAAAGAAAGCCGGAAAGGGATTCCCGTTCTAGGAAAGCTTCTGAGATTGTGCACCCGTTTCTTTTTTAAAACCTGCCTATTAACAAGGAATTGTCTAATGGATTCAAGCTAAAAGAACTACTATGTCTTTTTTATTGTGGTACTGGTCATAACCTGCCTATTTGCGCTTCCCTGAATATATGTTATAAAAATGTCATGAACTGTGCATATAGGAAAAGGGAACCTAAAAAACTGAGTTAGTCTGTGAATCTTCTCGCCTGAGAATTGATTGTTATTCAAAATATATTGCCGCCAAATTCCAAAGATAAAAAAAAAGTACCCCTTCCCACCTTTAAAGAAACGTTAAAAGCACAGCTAAATCCTGTCAAGTCTTACTCCGGATAACTTACAACTAACCGATTTAGTTGGACTGATTTTCATTTCCCAGTGGTTTCTATCCTACCTTATTTAAGTCGAATCATTTTCATACCCCTTCAAACTTTGGACCAGGTACCAATTGTGTGGGGAAGAAGAGGCACAATTAGTGTAATCACCTTGCCCAAAGGTGAATTCCTCAGAAGTGAGAAGTGCAGGTCGCGAACCCACACCCTTGGGTCGTGAGTCCTACCCCTTAACTACCACACCACATAGGCCACAAATCCACAGTTCAGCTAGGTCAGACTAAACGGTACTTGACTGTCTAAATTCATCACTATCTAGAACTTACTAAAACCCAGAACCTTGGCAGTGCTTAACGGTGATTAATTCAGACGCAGTCATCTCATTGCTACAAATTACAAAATGGCTTGGCGAGCTTCACAGTTTATATGTCTCGTGCAAAACAATTGGGGCAGATTCACCTGTTTACTTATTGCAGCATGGACCATATTTCATTCTACAGATTACAAAAACTTTAATACATACCATAGAAGAACGAAAAATTAATTTTTTTCCAAAAAGACACCCAAATGCAGGAATAGTTTATAAATCACATTAAGTTTTGGACAGAAGGCACCTTAAAAACAGGTAATCAGTAAACAGAACGATAATGAATGAATCGGCTAAGAAACCTTAACCAATAACTAAGCTATATTGATGAAAACTCGATAAGTTTGCGTAATAAGGAACATCTGTTGACATGACACCAACGAAAAAGCCTATGCATGGAAAGCCTTATTACTTGTTTTCTAAGATTGAGCCCTGCATAAGGCCTACAGTTTCTTGATCACGGATCTAAATCGTAAACTGGATTATGGCCGAGTTACATTCGTCACATACTGTGGCATCCCGATATAACGAACTCCGTAGGAAACTAGAAATTGTTCGCTATATCGGGAATTCGTTATGCCGGGAGAAAACTTTTTTGAGTTCTTTTCGCAGTAAACGCATCAAAAGCCCTCTCCATGGGGTTCTTAAGGCTATGCCAAACTTCTGCGCATATTCTACTCATAACAAACTAGGTGGATTCAAATATTATAATGGTCAGTGATAACAAATGAAAATCTTGTTCATCACACATTACAATTTGGCTTTCTGTGTTGGTATTTTTCTTACTGAAATGTCATAAAGCCATGAAAAAGCGGTAACTTTTGCGCGTATCTCATCTCCTTTTTGAGCATCATAAAAAGTACATGTTTGCCGGTATTTTTGACCGATGACAATAACGAGTTCGCCTGAGCGAAAGTGATAAATGAACACCGAAAAGAAATCAAAATAAAAGAAGAATTTTTTTAAAAAGTTCGTTATATCGAGGGTAATTATGATTTTGTTCGAGGGAACTAAAATTTTGTTCGCAATAACGAGAGTTCGTTATATCCGGAGAGAATTTTTAGGAGTTATTTAGGCAGAATCCAAGGGACCACACATTGTGTTCGTTATACCGGGAACTTCTTGATATTCGGGATTCGTTATATCGGGATTAAACTATAGATAAAAAACTTTCCGTTGTTAAGTGGACTTTACCCTCAAAATTAAAGCACCCAATGAAAGCTTATGGCCTTAAAACAAAACGCTCTACACGATAAAAGCGACAGCAGTTATTTTCAGAAGAGGACAATCGCAAATTCTCAATGGGTAAAAAGGTAACAGCCGGAGCGTTACTATTGTTGTGAACGGCCACACACCAAAGTACAGGGATCTGATGTGGTCAGTTCGTCGCAGCAATTAACACGCAATCACTTGGCACAAAAATGATAGCATTGGCACAAACAATTGGCACAAATACACTTTAGAAAGAACAAACAGAAAAAACATTCTGAAGTGAAAAACAATACCTTTGACTCCAATTCTGCATATGGAACATTTGATAATTATAGACTTGCAGTTGAAACACCTGGAATCACGCTGTGTCTGGGAGCAGTTTGAACATTTGAGGAGGACATCTGCAAAGACATATTGCTTAATATTTTTAACAAAGGATACGAAATCCATAACAAATATTAAGGGATTGTGTTTTCTAAAAATTGAGGGCTTCAATAGGCAGAGAACAACGTAGTGGAAAAGCAAAAGTTGAAGTAACTAACATGGAATGCTTTCTTTGTATACGAAGTAAAATTTAGAGTTAAACTCAAAACGTTACTTTGATAAGCAAATGCATACACAAAGTCATTTGTCAATGGTGGGTTTTTCAGTTCTGATTCCACGGTGTAGAATAGGAGGAACACCATTATCTACGTATCAAGGGGACGAAAAAACGTGCGGATCTCACAACAGCTCAGGAGAAAACGTTCTCAACAATGTAGACAGTAATCTCATATTTATCAAAATAGATATTGATAAAATCAAATTAAAGAACGATCCAGCATCAAATTTATGAAAGAAAAAACATGAGAACTGTTGCTCACCAAGGCCACGATGGGGTGAAGGAACTTCGTCAATATGTTTTAGGACTTCGGCTCGTTTATTCAGAAGATTCCAGCGATAAAGGATGTCGGCGTAGGCCCTTTTAAGACAATCATACTGCCTCGTGATTGAAGGATCTAACAACCTAAAACATAGAATAAAATAAATGTATTGTCTTGGTTGTTCTGAATAAGTTTTTGCATTAGATTCCAGTTATAGTCACACCAAATATTGCTTGAAAAATCCGTGACAGTATCCGGAGTGTGACTGTAAACGGAGCTCAATTGTACAGTTATGCGTATTTGGGTCAAAGCTGAGTGGACTGGATATAAAATCAGTGGGTTCCACCAGCATATCGTGTCGAACGGTTGCATTCTAAATTTTCCAACATAAACAAGAGGAAGCGTCGCGACCGACACTTTTCCCTCTGAAATTAGCCGATTCTCGAACAAAATTGACTTCGAATTAAGCGATTTTATCGTTATTTAATACACTGCGAATTATACAGTGATATGAACGAATTCAAAAAACCAAGCCAAAACAAGTTTTGATATAAAGAAAAAATTTCTCAGCCAACTTTCAACAGATTAATCTAATATTGTATCATTAGAGGTTTGCCGGCATGATCTTTCTGCTTATGCGGTCAAATTTTAAACCTTATAAAAATATATTTTTATGACGTCAACATTTTGCGATTCTATGGTAGAAATGGTGAAATACTTCAAGCTAGGAGGCTTGACTACAACGCAGAAGATTGCTAACATGAACACCCTGATTCAACTGCTCTACCCAGAAGCAAATGGGTACATGATAATTCATTTTTGAGGGTAATGACAGCTTTTAAGGTGCTCACCTGCAACTTTTACGGTACTCAAATTTGAAGTCTTCCGTAGACTCGCTTCTTTCGACAATAAACGCGGGCGGGGACATACTGCCCGCGGCTGATGACGTAGATGAGCTCCGGTATATTCCATAAGGGAAGTCAGGAGAGACTTGGACCTGGCATTCTTGAAGGCTGGTCCGTTGCCTTTTAAGAACCTGGAAATATTAATAAGAATAACTTTTCCAGTTAAGGATTGCCTGGTTAAATCACTAAGCGATTGCAAACAGATTGCAATAGAATAAAAATATTATTTTAATCCTCTTTACTTAGATCGAATTGCTTTGTTTTCCTTCAGCTACATCGAGACGAAGAAGAATATTTGGCAGTTTTTGCTCACTTAATATACTTTAAGGCTTTAGATATATGAAATGAAAAATAACTAACTAGACAGTCAATGGTTGTTACTCTGAGAATGAAAGTAAGCTTCTAAAGCTCCAGCCTTCTAAAGAAATAGATCTTACAGACTACGCTATTGGTGTATGGAACAGAACAGTTCCAAGTTTGCTACTCAAAGTTTCAGGCTTTATGTGATCATCAAGTTACTGACCCTACAAACTGTACATCCTTGGATAAAAATTGGCAATATTTTGTAAAAAGTTGAATGCAATAGTTGAAAGCTAATTTTGTATGAGACATAAACTAAATTTGTTCCAAATAGCTCAACCTTTACGAAGTCCATATCAAATAAAACCATGCAATGAATACGATAAATTATTCAAAATTTTCATTTTAATGTACAACAACCGTGATTCTGCAATGGAGCAGCATTTACTAGAGAACACAGATCGAGCTAAAACTATAATTGCGACTTGTTTCCGATGACTGGCAGAACACGGCCGTTGTTCTGTCGAGCAGGTTTAGAATCCATGTGCAAATTTTTAGGCCTTCTTCCTGGTTCCATATTCCTTACCTTACGTCCATTCCACACAAAATACGAAAGCTCTGGCAATAAACCTTATTATGGAAAAGTTGAGGAAGAATTTATCAGAATGACCTTGTGCACTGTCTTAAGTGTTAAATCGCACACCTGGGATATCAAGAAACTAGCTAATACACAAAGGTATGCGTACTTGTGAGATATCTGTGATGGTGTAGCCTTTTTTCATTTTCGTAGGTGAACTGTTTGACGCATGCGGCAGTCTTTGCCTTGAGAGGACACAGCTCAAAAGGGCCATTGTCTGGACATCACGAATTTGCGAGTAATAGTTGAATCTGCATATAAAAAGAGATAATGCAAGGTATTGTACAAAAAGAGAAATGCGCTGGTAACAATGGTATATGCTTAAAGGGTTTTTGATAATACTGACGAAAAAAGAAGTTAATGTCGGGGGGGGGGGTTGGGGCAGGGGGCAATAATCTTACCATTTGGCAAGAGCAAGAGAAGTAAAGAGAAACACACAACTGCCCTGTTAATAAACTGGTCACGCAAATAGGAAAATTTCTTGTTTTGGTAAAATTGGAATTCCGCATTGCAAGTTAAGAACAGGAAACTAGAAACAGCTCCTTTCTACCACTTTTATTGAGCGTAATTCAAAAGAAGCATGGTATGCAATTTTGACTCAGTTTTGAAATGGTGAGTAAAGGAAAGGAAATAAATAACAGCAAAGGAAATACTTAACTAGCAAATTAATACTTCAAACAAGATAAGTAGGATAGAAGGTTCACTTTTAAATCAGGTGGGCATTAGACGCAGAGCACTGATGACGTCATTACCAAATTAGCTGTAAAGTGGACTTTCTATAAAGCTACCTCGAAAGGAGTTTCTATAAAGCTACCTCGAGACTGATTACGCATTAGAAACAAATTCCTTACTTAATAATTTCAGATATAAATTTGACTTTGCAGATATTATGTCTACAGACACAAAGATGCTCACAATGATTCGATAAGACGTTTGCCAAATGGATGCCTTGCCCAAGGCCGTTCCTCGATGTTATCCGTTGGTTCGAGATACTTTTCCATAACCATGGCAACAAGGGACCATGTTCGGACCAAGTCTGCCCGACCGAGCAATTTTGCAGCGTTAACATTTACCCTGCAGATTTCACCAACATCCGGCCCATTAATTCTGCAATTAAATGAAATATAATTATAACACATGACACAAATTTGATACTTTTCATTTCAGGGCCCGCGGCACAGGGGGTCCAGGGTGCTATGGCTTCTCCATTTTTTATCTTAATAAAAGATTAAATCGGCTCAAATCATTTAAAACTTTGGTTTACAAAAAACAGATAGACACATACACACATTCCTTTGCCAACGATTTCTGTATTGGTAGCAGTGCAGAAATATCAGATATAACAACCACTCCTGAAGACCTTCTTTGCATTCCCTTGGCAGAGACATCCTTTTCCTAAATCGAACAATAACTTATCAGAAAGTATCATAAACTGCTAATCAAAATTATAATCAGATAAACAGGGAGGTTGCTCTAGACGGTTTCAAATCCTGGACCAAAGCCATATAGCTTTTATTGCTTGAAAATGTTCCATTTGCGTATTTAAGTCCCCTAGGTCGACTGAAGTGCCTAATCGCTTATTCTGGCCTAGCAACTTCAGCGTACAAAAATTTCAAATTCAGCAAAAACTTCCCTCTCTGTTAACATTTCTAGGTGGAAGAGAATTCCATGACAAAGTACAAATTTTTTCGTCTCAAAGAGGGAGTACTCCGAAAAGTTCTGAATATGTTTTTATTTCTCGCTCAACATGCATCCAATACGTTTTCTAAGTAGCAAGTGACTCACACACACTGCCCCGCCCAATAAGGACCCCCAATTAGGACAGTGTCGCTGGTCCCAGATTTGAGTCCTACCCTGGTCGTGTCTTTTGCTCACATTTTATCTCAGTATTTTCTTTGCAAATACTTTTCTCCTACCACTTTATATGTAAAAAGCTGGTTTTATTAGTCAAATGTATAATTTTCTTCAGATCGAGGAAACATATTTTCTTGAGATATGACATCTTGAGAGCAACCAGTAATCTTGAAAAGGTAGCAAAGAAAATAACACGAAAATCTTGCTGGTAAAAACTTTTTTTGTTTGCTGAATTGTTGATGTTTACTTACAAGTATGCTAAAAGCCACGTGGTATTTTGAAATGATAGAACTTTAATCTAAATCCAAGTTGAGCGAACATTTTTTATCGTAAGAGAGATTGTAAAGTACAGAATGGTTTTCAAGCTTTAATTTCAAGATTCAAGTTGTAAGTAACTCCTTTTTAAAGTTTAGGTTTTTCAATATTGTAAATGTTCAAAACAGGGCACTTATTGATAATTGTAAATGTTTAAAACAGGGCACCTTTATTGCTGAAAAGGCAACCCTGTATAAATAATTATGCTATTTTTATTATTACTATTATTCTTATTATTATAAAAAATTCAAGGACTCAAAAAACAAGACACAACAAAAACAATAATATATATATGGCATGGAACAAATTGTTTGGTGAGTAATGGGGTTCGACTGACTCTAGCCTGCTCTGCTAGCCTCGAAAAGGAAACAACCCCAGGAGATAAGAAATCATACTTACAAAAAATGGCACACAAAATGCATTTCTGCCTAACAAATGCAGTTCCACATTTTCATACAGCTAATATGAAATTTAAATTTTCCATGAAATCGTCTTCGTCTACTCATAAACAAAAGACACATATACTCACAAAAACAGACGTGTCAAAGGACTCCTCCACAGTCATATTTGAGATGTAGGTTGGGAGTGCAGATATAGATCTAGGGGGGGAAGTAGACATTGAATCACGTGACTGGACTATGCTAAGGTAAGAAAGAGAGTACGACACTGTTACATAGCATACACGCGACACAACTACTGCTATTCATATTTCCACGTGACATAATCCGAATTTTACTGGACACAAATAACGATAAATTCTTTAAATGTTCTTTTATCTACGGCTTAACAGCATCCAGACGTTGGAACGCGTTATAAAAGCCACTTTATAACATATTTGTTTCAAGCCTTTGCGTTTTTTCTTTTCATAACCAATGCAAGTGTCAAAGATTAAAGCACTATCCCCACCCTAGGCCTTATTGCTACTCCACTGTTCATACTTGCAGTTTCGAAGAGCTCTTACGTCGTAAGTTGAAAATTAAAAAATTAAACCCACCTTAATGTTATATCGCTTCCTTCACTGTTAACATGTGTGTACATTGCTGGCCTTGTAAAGATGACTAGCTTATCTACAATCAAGTTTATACTGAACGTTCACAATCATATTATGAATACTAAAATAAAACAATACATCATATTGTTTCCACCATAACGTCTCCTATTAAATGTTTCTTTCTTTTCGTCTAACGAATGATGTTAAGTCACAAAACAATTTTTTCCGATATTATAAAAAAGTAGCAATTGTTTTCAGTCTAAATTTTACGTTACTGGCTGAATTCGATACAACTGAAACGATTATAAGTCGAAACATTAACGTTATGCGATTACAAAACTCACCAACTCCGCAAAACCTGGCTCCGGAAAAGCGAGGAAATGGAACAGCTGGGTCTTGATAGCTCCCGAGGGAGGCCGATGCATCTCTCCGCGGGAAAAACGAGGGCAGCTGATGTGGAACGGTTAGTATTGAGTCAAGTAGGTCGTATCTCATCTGTACAGAAAAAATTGTTGGATAATCAATAAAGTCTTATTTTGTAGAATCAGGTGCTTCTTAATGCAAGAGGCAACTGTTTCAGCAATGAAGGCTACTGGAGGGGGCGAGGGGGAGGGGGCGAATAAGGGGGTGCATAAGGGGTGGAAATAAGGGGGTGGCATAGGGGCGAGGGAGGGGGCAACGGAGGGGGTAAAGGGAGGGGACGAAAAGGGGGCAAGAGAGGGGACGAAAAATGGGGCAAGGGATGGGCAAAAAGGGGGCAAGAGAGGGGGCGAAAAAGGGGGCAATGGGTGGTGCTTCAAATGAAAGTGCCATGATAATTATCCAATTTTCCTTTTTATGGATGCATCAGATAGTAAAACGGTAAAAAATGCAGGTTTGTTATCACATTAGCAAAGAATATGTTTAAAAGCAAAACTTAGTGATAGATAGAATTTAATTTCATCAAATGCCTTGTAAAATTACAAAGAAAATAGACAATGCGTATAAACCTAAAAGAAGGGATTCTTAGTTATTTTGCGAAAAAATGATGGTTTGTAGCAAAATAGCAAACAAAAAATAATTATTATCGATAGCACAGATAATGTGCAATAGCACAGATAAACATAAAATTTCAAGAACAGAGAAAAATCAAGTGTTATTCTTTTAGGATATATTTAGTAATAAACCGGGTCATCTATGGAAGTGATTAAAAAGGTGACTCACCGAGAGCTCCTCGATCTGTTGGATTAACTGTCGAACGCAGGGCTCCAAACAAGTTCTGTTGTACTTCACATGGGCATTAGCTGTCTCCAACAAAGCCTAGAAATAGCACCAGAAAATAGTATTCACATGGACTGTGTAGCATTTTCGAAAAGACAGCAATACAAAGATCCTAATGAAGTGAAAAAAAATGCAGCTGCTTGGGTTAACATCACTAAATCATTATAAGATGAGATGTAAGAACAAAAAAGTGCGGAATGCTAGAATTGCTTGCTTCTTTTAAGACTGTGGTTCATTTAGGTCTGGCTTAGTTCTATACTGTTTTTCGCTCGATGATAGCACCTGCTCAACACTATCATTTTGGAGAAATCAAACTGACTAGGTTGCATTTGATTATGAAAGAAATGAACCTGTAATGATCAATTTCCGATTAATTAATTTCCTATTTTGATTTATGCTTCTGTTGACATGAAATTGGATTTCCTGGATATGAGCCTCTATCCAGGATATGAGCAGAAATTATAAGGTCAAAAGGGAGTTAGGGAAAGGGAAAAAATCATATGTATTAATTCTGGCACAGACACAAAGAGGCATTTATATACGCCAATGCCATGTGCATCTATCTCTCTTGTTTCCATTTTGGTTTGGCTTTCCTTTTTGGTTGGCCTAACTGTGGCTAGTTAGAGGCCAAATACTCGATGTAACCGCCACTTTATCAACAACCATGGTATATCAGTAGCCGAAGGGCAATTCACTTTTGTAAATAACGTAGGAGGTTTCCAGGAAAACAAACTAAATTCCCAGGGGTTTTAAGTTAGATTGAAAGGATTTTCACCAAAGGTATACGAGATTTTCAAGGAGTGGTGTGTCCCTCGTCAGTAACAAGAACACAGTCACCTTCAACATGGTTATTGATAATACAGCTATTAAAACATACCAATATCTTTGTGTAACAAGACTTTGCATACAAGACAATGCAGTTTCAGATTTTATGTCTAAACATTACACTCAGTTAAAATAATCTATGTTTGATTACAGACCTTCATAAGTCGAGATCGTAAGTCATGATCAACATTTGTTTCTTTGGAAAAGCGGAAGTTTGGTGGGACGTTGTTCGGATAGGCTGGAGGGAAAGTGATGTTCAAGCTGACCAAGTGATGTCCAATTTTAGCCGAAACAACACAAACTCTTTGCTTTGCATCCAGCTGCAAGTAAAAAATCGAAAAGCATTAAGGCATTGAGTATTTTTCGTTCCTTCCTAGTTTGTTTATCGACCTAAATATGCATGGTTGGCCACTAATACGATATGGGAAATTGACAAGGTACGACGACAGGCTTTTAATACAAAATACAATTCTGAGGAATTATGGCCTTTTCTAAATACAAGAGGGAAACTGCCCCCCACCCCAACCACTATTGCCCTCTCTTTATAAGAACAAAGGCGTGATGCGTCATTAGCCTCTCAAACTGAACCTTCTGAACCTATAAGTTTCAAGTTGATTGATTGTCTTGATAACGATTACTTGCTCGGAACGTCGTGTTTTTCACAATCAAAATCTTTTTTTTTATTTCTGGTATTCAATTTATTTGCTAACTATATTATCGTTACTAACATTTAATGCTCTGAAAAGTGTCAGACGAGAAGCGTAGGTATGCTTTAAAATATTTTCTTTTTTTCAAATCCACTTGTAACAATCTTTTTTCTTTAATATGAACTCACCCATAGTGGAGCTAATTTATGAATATATTAAGTACTCAAAAACTAATTATCTATCCAAAAAAAATTTTCAGGTCGCAAATATTTCTTGTTACAGGTAGTTTGAGACAGACTATAGAATTTTTACATTTATGTAATGGCTTTTGGGTGGTCACAGGTTTTTGCTTCTCAGGGTTTCATTCCCCCTATGATCGTAAAGTAATTTTTGTAAGTAGTATAGTCTATAGCATGAATTGAACATTTTTTGTGGCTTTAACTAGAAAGGTACGAGGTCAAAGACTTATTGTTTGTAGCTCAACAGGGTAATTTAACAAACCTTACAACTAAAATTCCTAGTTACAAAATACATTGTAAAAAGCAACATACAGGGATTGTTAAAGGGGACAGAGCAACATCGCGTCTGTAGTCAACTTTCTGAAAATCAGAAAGCAATAGAGCTCCCGCTTAAAACTCTTTTCTGATTTAATAAAATATGTCTGGAACTGGAAGTTGGCCAAAAAGATTGTCATGTAATCTCGTTTACATTTGACTTCGCTTTTAGTTTGATAGAAATCTTTGCATACAGAGAGTTAATGCCTTCCAAATCTTCCCTTTACCCCATCATTACGCCCATTGGAAGCTTGCAAGAAATGAATAATTCTATTTGGTTTCTATTAGCCTATAACATGTACAAAAAATCTTCCACCGTTGCATTGTCGCTCGAATGTTTGTTTTGATTACACACACCACAGTAAATTCTCGATGTTGCTCAGGCCCTTTTAAAAACCTTTTACACTTACCTTCTCGAAAGACACAATAGGGTTGTTTATATTGATGAGGTCAAATTCTTTTTGCAGCTCGTTATGTGGCGGATTTTCATGTCTGCTTTCAAATTCAATCTCAACAGGATGCTTTTGTAGGAAATCACCTGACGTATCAGCAAAACTTTGAGCGACAGAAATTGTTTCTTCATCAGTGACTTTCTTATTCTCGTGATCCATAGGTTTATGTTGCGATGACAACGGAGGGCTTCCATGGGGGGACGTGGTGCTTTCCATACTGCGATGCGAATGATGTCTCTCTGGATGCTCACTGCAAGCCTGAAATAAAAGACAACCTTAAACAAAACGATTTGGTTTGACAAGATCTGAAGTTCGAGGGAACCAAACATATGCTTGGAGTCAAACTTGCTAAAATTATAAGTGACGAATTTTACCTAAGATCTTTTCAGACAGGTTAAAACTTTTCTTACGATAAGATACTATTCTCATTACTAAAAATTTTATTTCATATTTTACGTTTTAATGAGTTTCTGTTTTCAAATAATATCAGATTTGTAAAATACAAACTTTGGTACACGGTAAAGATTCTCTGCCTGGTCAAGTGATCCATTTGAAAAGAATCTTTTAATTTATCAAAGAGCATTTTAAATATGATGTCATCAAGTTGCATAAAGGAAATTGAGGCTTGAAGGCAAGAACGCTATGAATACAAAACCTTTACAATAGTTATCAACTAAGAACTGGGAATACATACTTTTACTACTTTTGGTGATACAGCCCATATCTTGATAGTCTGGTCTTTTGACCACGTAACCAACTGATATTCAATTTGACCTGTGTATAAAAAGAAAACCAGATTGATGAAACAACGATCGAAAATAAAAGTCTACAAACAGATCAGTTTTAAAGAACAATTTGAGGCGTTTTTATTTGGATATATTCGATCTAATGTCGTTTACTATCGTTTACCACAGTTTACTATCGTTTGCTATCGTTTGCTATCGTTTGCTATCGTTTACTATCGTTTACTACCATTTACTATCATTTACTACCATTTACTATCATTTACTAATTATACAGACATTACTTTTATACATTACATACTCACTATTATACAAACATTTACTATCGCTTGAAATTAGCATGTTTCCAATAGACATACTCGGACCAAGGTCCTACAAATCATCCACATAATAGTTAAATCGATTTGAAGCTCGAAAGAGGTCACGGATATGTTGTCTGTCCAATAACTCTCATACGAAGTGTCCATTTTACAATAATTCAATTACAATTTCAGTATCCTTAAAAAGGTTAACTTGATTATTTTTCATCAAAAAATCCCTTATGGAGATTTTTTCAGTGATCCTCTATGGCTCAGGCCGCGGAAAGAAATTTCTCCTAGGAAAAATATCAAAGTAAGACAACATTGATAGTGTGAAATGTCATAATATCAAAAGTGTTAAATGTCATATCTGAAACAGATCTTCCCTGACCCTAGACGGCCAGTGATTTGTCAATTCTTCTAAACCAACACCCTTGCATGTATGACAACCAGTAAATCGGATTACCTATCTGCATTCGTTAAGTTTGCCAAATTAACTGACTCAATAAAAACAAAGGAAATATAACCTCTTATTTCACGGGATCGCCACTGAAACTCAAGAATAACATCCTGATGACCAGAAAATGTGTGAACCGGGCTTGATAAATCGTAGCAATGCCACAAATGCAGATTGTTCTCATCTCGCCTCAGCGATGGCACAACCACGGTCAAAAGACCATCACCAAAGGGCTACAATAAGAAGAAGTAAGAGTTTAAGAATGGCGCAGAAAAATAACAGCATGTAGAGCCTTCTTTAACATGCTAACTAGGGCAGTTACCCAGCCCCACTGATAAAACAAATACCTTGTCCTCCTATTTATATAAACAAGGTCTTGAACCCTCAGCTGATTCTCCATACGAAAGGCTATGGAAACATACAATACTAAAATAACTTTCGGCCGATACTCCTAAGTTTATCAGGACCAGATGACTACCAAAGGTAAGCAGAGTTTATATCCAGGTGCTGATCAAAAGTAGCATGAGAGGAAGATTAGCGCATGGCTCCTGGTTTTCGAAACGCAAGACGCAAATACTGACCTCTAAAAAGTAGGTAAAACTGAAGGAGGAAGGAAGAGATTTGTCAACAAGGATATAAAAAAATGTCAAAAGACTGTGTTCCTTCGGGCTTTACCCTCTAATGAGGTCATTGGCAGGGGCGCCGAGTGGCCTTGGAGGCCATTGGGCAACCCGAAAGACGAGAAGATATTTGCAGGCACGCCCTTTCGATTCGCTTAAATTCATTCATTGATTTAAAATGTTTTACTACTTTTAGGCATAATTTTGTACTCCATTTTAAAACCGAATTCATTGATTTATGGGACCTTAAAGACCTCTCGTTATGAATACATGGTGACTGATTCGGCAGTTAAGGAAGCAAATTTGTTAGGCAGTTAAGGAGGCAGACGCACTTAAGGAGTTTCTAGCATTAAACGAGATTGTGATTGTTTCGCAATGAAAGTTTTAACTTACCGTATACCTGGCTCGCCAAACAGGAGCTCCAGTACTCAAACTTGCTTTGGCTTGCTTAGGAGAATGGACGTTCCAAAACTAAAAGAAGGGGGATATAAAAGAACCTCAGATAATAGCTATTTTGTTTAGGAGCATTCCTTAATGAAAACCAACAGTTTACGGACAGGTTTAGGGAAGACTTCAGTTCGCTGTTATCTTAAAAGCTGGAAGTATATCAGTTCAAATTTAACATATATTTCAACCTACCTCTATAAGATTTACGACTTACACCATAAGTACCACAGCAGATTTTAGAGACGTCTGCTGTATGCTTTCATACTTTTCAAACTACATGCCGACCTCCACTTCAGTCTTTTTGTTTCCCGCGCGTGCTGTGAATCTCCCGGTCTCATCGACTCCTCGCAGCTTGTTCGCGCAAAGTCGCTTAGTAAGATCTATGCCTACTACAAAGGGAGGAAAATTTGCTCTCTGTGGCGTAAGAGATTTCAAAATATGAATACACACAGTCGATCGCAGTGCGCGCGCGAACAAAACCAATTGAGTGGAGGTTGGCCTAAATCAGTGGCGTAACGGACCAAAGTTACCTTTAGTTAAAAAACTAAGGGCCTCTATCCTTTAGAGACATCCAGCATTAATGTTTTCTTTGTTGATTTACTGTAATCCTAGTATTGTGGATGTGATAAACGATTTGAAGGGATCCCGAGCTTGCATGATGTCTCTGTTTAAACGAATGGAAGGTCTGTTAATTAGCATTTCATGTCTATTCTACGTTGTTTTACAAATGCTTATAATTTGGGGGCCTTGAGCTAATAAATTTTTAGGGGCCCGAACTAATAAATTCCTAGGGGCCCGAACTAATAAATTCCTAGGGGACCGAGCTGATAAATTCCTAGGGGCCCGAACAAATAAATTCCTAGGGGCCCGAACTAATAAATTCCTAGGGGACCGAACTAATAAATTTCTAGGGGCCCGAACTAATAAATTCCTAGGGGCCCGAACTAATAAATTCCTAGGGGACCGAACTAATAAATTCCTCGGGGACCGAACTAACAAACATCCAGGGGCCCTCCAGGGGCCCGACCGCCTCCGATACACCACTTGCCCAAAAGATACGATAGTTCGATGGTGGTTGAAGCTGTGGAAAGCCAAATGCAGTGAAACAGATAAAGAAAAGCAGAAAAGCAGAAAAGCAGAAAAGCAGATTAAAATAAGTAGAAAGCATACCTTTACTGTACTGTCATTGCTGGCGGTGACAAAGGAGTTTTCTTTTGTAAATGACCAGTCCAGTCCGTGAATTTTGGATAGATGTGCGGCTATATAGGCCAGAGGGATATTGCCTTTCTAATAAAAGAGCACAAAATCAGGACGATATTTTAATAACTATAAAAAATATTTGAGCAAGAATCGATACATAGGCGGATTGATAGTTCATTCGACTGTAGAAATGCAATGTTAAAATGTAACCACTAAATGCCTAAATCTACTTTTTAGCTTAGGCTATCAACGAAATTAAATACGGATAAAATGAAATTTTATCAGAGTTTATTTCACGAGGGATGTTGTAGAATTTGATTTACTAGGGGTTTCTACTTTTATCTGAATTGTCTTTTCCCCTTTGGGTGTCATTTATCATGTTTTCATTCTGGTAGTAGGTCCTTTTGTGCCCTTTTCGATGCATTTGGAATAAAGAGGATGATACTGGCTTTTTTATCAAGGTATTTTCGACATTTACAGGGGTAGCAGATGTTTAAATTCAAATTTTTGTGAAATTATTTTTATTTGCTAATCTGCTGCTTGACTAAAGTATAAATTCATGAAAATAATTTTCAGCAGAGACGCCGGAACGACCAAGGGACAAGGGGGCAGGCTTGAGTAAAAGGGCATTGGCAAAATAATGTCCAGCTACCAACAATTCTTTCACAACATTTTATTTCGATCTTCTGTCGGTATCTTAAAAATCGGCTTACTTTTTGCATAAGAAATTTCTTTAAAATTTTGAAAAATGTCGTCATAAATAAGGCACTGCAGTCAATACTTCATATGAATTCTTTGTTTTTCTACAAAAGGCCAGCATCAAAGGCACTTCTATGAAAAGGGCACTTTAGCCCCCCTTGCCCCCTCATATCAAAAGGCAACAGGGGCGGTTGATCCCCCGCGCCCCCCTCTCCGGCGTCCCTGATTTTCAGACTCGAGAAACTGAACTAGAAATGATGGCAAGCCGGTAAAGAGAAACACTCTTAATAATTATTTACATAGTTAGCTTGAAACCGCGATACGACAACAGTGAAGTGTTGATAAAGCATGTAAATGACAGTGATACTCGGGCCTTCGAATACAATGAGGTTGGGCAAACGTGCATCAAAAAGGGAGTCCAAAGGATATTTGAAGGAGCTTCATACATTTTGGATTAATAGCAGTTTGGAGAAGCAACCGAAATAACGGGAAAATGCAAATACTAAGGTGATATAATTTGATATATTCATTATAGGACGATACTGATAAGGAGATATAAATTTATGATAAAACATGATAAGGATAAAATGTTAATCATTGTTAGCAAATATGATCCAATCAAGTGGAATTTCTAAACAGTACTGGACATCAAATATTGATGTTTTTCGTTTTCTATGCTTAGTTTTTTCGTAATTCGACAAAATGTAGATTTTGAAATAAGACATATGTGAAATATAAAAGAAACGTGACCCACCCTTGTGTCCCAAACACGAACATCTCCATCATGGGTGCTGGCAAAAAGGTATTCACTAGTTTTGTTCCATTTGACCTGAGATGGCCCAGCTATAACAAAAATATGATGTAAATTATAAAAGTGTCGCTGAGTATGTACGTAAAGGGAAAACGTAGTGAATAACTGGAGACAAAGTAACATTTTTTGTTACATAAATGCTAGATATATAAATGAATTTATCAGCGAAATCATCGCTTGAAAACTTGATTTTTAATGATGACATTTAAAGCAATACAAATTTCTATTAACCGCTCTGTCATTTGTATCTATAATGCTCGCTGTAGTTTAGGCAAAGTTGCACATTCTATGGAGGTAGAACAGGGAATTTTTAAGTTGCAAAGCATAATATCAGGTAACCACTGCACTTCAAAATTAGTAAATTGTAAATTAATGCTAACCTCATTCTTACAAAGTCATTACTTAAACATTGTTACTTAACTTGATATGCCAAATTTGTATCGCGAGAGGAAATGGTAAGTTATCATGACACTTTTACCACCTACTCTCTGACCGAATTCACGGGCCCAGGCTCCCAAGCTTAGTTTTTCAAAGAGAGATACTTGATTCTATAAGCACGAGGATAGCTCAGTGGTTAGAGTCGCGGACTACAGATCGAAGGGTCTAGGGTTCGAGTCGACGAACCCAGAGTGCGGGGGGTCGTTATTCCAGGTGTAGCAATCACAAATTGTGGTCAGTTCGCGAGGAAGGTCCTGTACACAGAATAGATATCCTGTAACCAGGACACTGCTCTATATGCCTGGCTTCGTAGCCTGCGCGCAGGCTTGGCTTCTCAGTGTCCTAAGAACTACTTTCGGATGCTAGGTAATAACAAATAAACGAAGACATATTGAGAATTACATCAGAACAATGCATTAAAGATGGAAAAAAATTGCAACTGTCATTTGCAGTTATGATGATAAAAGAATCGCATCAGAAACAACAGAATATTGCCTGGCGTCGAAACTTCTAGAAGAAGTAAGACACAAACAGTCATCGGGTTTTAAGAAACTATTCCGCTCCTGAGGAAGATGTAAGAATCAACTACACAGTAACTTATCCTAACAAATTGACGAAGATAAGTAGCATAAAACTGGAAAGCTGAGTAAAATTAGGTGACTAATAGATCCAAAATCGAAATACCCAGGATGACTAATCTGCGGTTAATCACATTAAGGTGGCACTTCATAAACAAGGCAAATTGTACAAAATGTTTGAGATTCGAAGGCGGGTGGGATGATATGAAAGTGATTTCATGGAGAGACTCTTCCATTAGCCAGTAGATAGCGGTAAACGACATAAGCAAATTAGCAGTTCTTATGCAAAGCAGATTTACTTACAAAAAATATCTGAAGTTCGAAAGTAAACAAACTAATCGACCTGAAAATAAATTTGTAAATTCCTTTGGGAAACAGTGATGAATAAAGTACTTAAAATTCAGAATAGGGTATTATTGTGGGTTTTGCAAGTAATGCATAATTAATAGAATGCATAATTTATTGCGAGAGAATAGGGATTGCGGGGTGTCTTCTAATCTCATCAATCATTTACTTGAAGGAGCTCAAACTTTTATTCCAAACATAACATGCCGCTACACGCCCCCGTTTCAAAAGTACATTAAAATCCTCTGCTTTTGAACAACGTTTAAAGAAAACTCACTTAGTCCTTTTTGAAGAATGTGAAAGAGAATTCTTAGTTCTCTTGCGAAAAGTTGATTGAATAGCTCAGCTGTGAGTAACGTTCAAATCAAAGCACAGAAGACATATCGCAGAGAAGTGGAAGCCTGATTCCGTACACTGCAGTCTGGTTATTACTGAACAGCCAAAAAGGTATTGGAACGCATTATGTGTGAATAAATTGGCTGATTGGAGAGAAGTCAGTGGTGAAATCCAGACTAGCTGAGGTAACAGATTGAAAGTGAATTGTTTGTTTTGAAGATATATTTCAAGTGAACAAAACATTTAATGAGCTTAGGTAAAGGCATCAGCATATTGTAGGGCGGCAGTTGGTGGAATTTCTCGATGATGCAGGAACGCAGTGCTGATGCAGCAAAACTGGAATGCCTGTTTGCAAGATTGCAGTGATTTAAAAAACCACATTTCTTATGTTATCAGGTATTTGAAATGGCTATGATGCGTGGTAAAATGTAAAATGATAACTAAGACTTTGTCAGTTGTGAATGGTACTATGGGTATCTTAGGAAGCGTTCAAGCTTCCAGTTTATATTAAACTTTTGAACGAAGAATACTCTTGTCTATCACCGTGTCAAATAAACATTGAGTCAACATTTTGTGAAATACAAAAATCAACGCTATTTGTTGCTTGCTTTCAAAACTGTATTTAATTCGATTATTTCAATTATTTTCAGGATATTTCTAAGATAATTTTCTCGAAAAATTCCTTTATTGTTCAGATCATTTGGTTTAAAATTCTGCTTCGCAACTTTCTTAGCAATGCGGATTAAAGGGGATTAATAATAAGAGTATTAAGGTAATTAAACAACACAAACTTCAAATGTTCATGACAGTGTTTGTGTCACATCCCCTAAGTTGATAATTCCCATAGTTAAAATATTTCTATGATATATCCTTATCATAGAAATTCAGCTACGAAAGTCATCGGTAGATTACTAAACATATGCGCTGCCAGCGAATTATAAAATTTTCTGGATATCGAATATATAAGCTTCGCAGCGAATCACCTTCACAAAGTGGGTAGGTGAAATTCTCGACGAAGTATGTTAAAACAACTTAATTGACATCCCTATTATTATGTTTTGAAAATTAAGGGCCTTAAAATTTGAATAAGTTTAAAGATTGACAAGCCCAAATAAACGGTAGGTGCCTAGAACAGAGTTGCTGAAAGTGGTTTAAAATGACATTATAAGGGAAGTCACCATACTACGCCAGCATAGCGGTCAAATCTTTGATTGGCTGAGAGCTCTGTTCGCTGCCATGTTTTAAGCCAATCAGCACACAGGATTTTCACAACAAAACCGCCTCGCAGCTAGAATTAGGCCCATTTTCGCCATTTCAGCGTGTTTTTACCACATTGTCTACAAAAAACATTGCATGCCTCTACAAAGCCAATTTCCACTTTATATTTTGTCCAGTTCATCATCATGCGTTGCTATTTAACCTATATTGGCGCCACTGTTCGATCGCAAAAAATAATATAAAAAAACACCTCGCAAATGATCGGTAAATTTCGTGTCGAGATTCAGGTTAATTAGGTTTTTACCTCTCCCCACCCAAAACGCTATAGACATTTCACATTTAGACAAAATCAATTATATACTTACGTTAAATATAGGAATGGTTCATAATCCCGTCAAAGATGCACTCACTGTTCAGCCTTAGATTCGGCGGGGATCGCCAATTTAATCATCACAACGGTACGAAGGCTCTCATATTCACCCTCGAAATCAATAAATGTATCTTTGTCCTCTGGAATCAAAATCTGCTTCATAAAAGTGAAAAATTTTCAGCAACAACCCAAAGTAATTTCAATCATGATTGTCCAGACAATTGACCATTATTACTAATTTTATGTGATGAAAATGGCGAATACACTCACGCGGTAAGACTGGGATCTAATAAAATTTGAAAACGGCGGGAAAATCAATTTAGAAAAATTGACGAAAACGCATCCTTGAAATTTTCCCGCCGTTTTCAAATTTTATTAGATCCCAGTCTTACCGCGTGAGTGTATTCGCCATTTTCATCACATAAAATTAGTAATAATGGTCAATTGTCTGGACAATCATGATTGAAATTACTTTGGGCTGTTGCTGAAAATTTTTCACTTTTATGAAGCAGATTTTGATTCCAGAGGACAAAGATACATTTATTGATTTCGAGGGTGAATATGAGAGCCTTCGTACCGTTGTGATAATTAAATTGGCGATCCCCGCCGAATCTAAGGCTGAACAGTGAGTGCATCTTTGACGGGATTATGAACCATTCCTATATTTAAGGTAAGTATATAATTGATTTTGTCTAAATGTGAAATGTCTATAGCGTTTTGGGTGGGGAGAGGTAAAAACCTAATTAACCTGAATCTCGACACGAAATTTACCGATCATTTGCGAGGTGTTTTTTTATATTATTTTTTGCGATCGAACAGTGGCGCCAATATAGGTTAAATAGCAACGCATGATGATGAACTGGACAAAATATAAAGTGGAAATTGGCTTTGTAGAGGCATGCAATGTTTTTTGTAGACAATGTGGTAAAAACACGCTGAAATGGCGAAAATGGGCCTAATTCTAGCTGCGAGGCGGTTTTGTTGTGAAAATCCTGTGTGCTGATTGGCTTAAAACATGGCAGCGAACAGAGCTCTCAGCCAATCAAAGATTTGACCGCTATGCTGGCGTAGTATGGTGACTTCCCTTATAATGTCATTTTAAACCACTTTCAGCAACTCTGTTCTAGGCACCTACCGTTTATTTGGGCTTGTCAATCTTTAAACTTATTCAAATTTTAAGGCCCTTAATTTTCAAAACATAATAATAGGGATGTCAATTAAGTTGTTTTAACATACTTCGTCGAGAATTTCACCTACCCACTTTGTGAAGGTGATTCGCTGCGAAGCTTATATATTCGATATCCAGAAAATTTTATAATTCGCTGGCAGCGCATATGTTTAGTAATCTACCGATGACTTTCGTAGCTGAATTTCTATGATAAGGATATATCATAGAAATATTTTAACTATGGGAATTATCAACTTAGGGGATGTGACACAAACACTGTCATGAACATTTGAAGTTTGTGTTGTTTAATTACCTTAATACTCTTATTATTAATCCCCTTTAATCCGCATTGCTAAGAAAGTTGCGAAGCAGAATTTTAAACCAAATGATCTGAACAATAAAGGAATTTTTCGAGAAAATTATCTTAGAAATATCCTGAAAATAATTGAAATAATCGAATTAAATACAGTTTTGAAAGCAAGCAACAAATAGCGTTGATTTTTGTATTTCACAAAATGTTGACTCAATGTTTATTTGACACGGTGATAGACAAGAGTATTCTTCGTTCAAAAGTTTAAT